TTGTGTATATAACACTAAATTTAACTTGCATAATAAGGGAAGCAAAAAACTTGCGCCCAAAGTTCTCATCCTTCCCATTCCGAGCAGTAACAATAATACACATGGGCACGAAAGCTTCATATTGGCAGTTATAATAAGGTAACAAAGTCCCTGGCAGTTTAAAACAAGTTAACGGAAGTGTTTTGGACATTTCGTCGAATGGGTAGGATAGGGTGCACGAAGTGAATGGGAGGGGTGGCCTGGGTGTGCGGAATGGCTAGGCTGGCTGGGGGGTTGCATGGCTACGTGGGGTGGCATGGCAGGCTAGGGGGAGTGACCTGGGTGCGCTGGATGTCTAGGCAGGCTGGGTGAAGTGGCCTGGGTGCGTGGTGTGCGTTGGTGGGCTGTGCGGGGTGGCATGGCAGGCTAGGGGGAGTGGCCTGGGTAAGTGGGGTGCCTTGGTGGGCTATGGGAATAGCCTGGGGCTGTGTGAGTGGCCTGGGCGCTCAGCCCTTTCATCGAACAGGTGCTGATCAGCAGCAGCACCTTACCTGTAAGTGGTTTTCTTATCCGTCGATGGCCACCGGTGAGTGACTTTGGGGTAGTCGTCGCTACTTGGCTCACCTTCGCTAACATCGGTAGCTGTCGATCTCCTTGGTTCACCGAGGTTGAAGCTCATAAAATGAACTGAGGGTAAGATACCTCCGGTCGTCGTTGGCTTGGGAAAAACCAATCCTATCCTTAAATCTCCTCATGGACTCTTATTCTTTCTACCTTGACAACTTTATTTACTCTTCTCTTTTGATGGTGTAATGCACTCCATTCTTTTGTGTTCTAATGATATTGATACATTATATGTTATGTGTTTTGATAATGCAATCTACCTGCTTTTAGACATACTTATATGGTCTAATGTTTAAATTTGTTATGATAATGCAATCTACCTGCTTACTTTTAGACATACTTATATGGTTTTTGTTAATGATGATAAAAGGGGAGAAGTGTTTGATTAATTTATGTGGAAAATGACATCATCTACTAGTTTGTGAATGTATTTACTATTGGAAAATGATATCATCTAGGGAGAATAATATGAAATATGTGAACTAATGATAATGTCATTGTGATTGAAAATGATATCCATGCAGCTTATCATGTATGAAGATGATTGCGGTTAACCTTTAGTGCAATGTTCAAAATTTCGATACATATCAGACCATATCGATCAATACGTATTGTATCAAGAGCCTCCCGATGCGATCTTATAGGGCGTGTTTCAGGGGTTTAACCCGGTTCAGGGGGTAGAAGAGCCTTGAACCAAACCCTCTGAACCAGGTTCACAAAAAAAAAAAAGAAAGAGGAGCAAAGGCCGATACAGCCAAATACACTTCTACTGTCGTATCGGGCTGCATCAATGTTTTGAACCTTGCTTTGGTGTGCAACCGTTTGTCCAATGATAATATAATCGTGATAGCATGATTTTGGTTATCCCACACTAGTATAACTGCAAGAGTGTGATTATAGCTATTCTATGATAATATGATTGAGATATATAAGTCCATCCCCTTACAAGTGGTTTTTTTTTTAATTATGGATTTATGGTTGTGATGGGCGTATAATTTTTGTCATGGAAGATATTGGATGGGCATCTTGCAATTGCAAATATCTCACCAAACTAACAAATACCATTTAGGGGTAGAAGAAAGCAATGCTTTCAAAATGTCTTGGTTGTGTGTGATTTCAATATGATTTTTATATTAATAGCTAGTCGGGAGGGGGTCGGTCACACATGATACAAAGGTGTTGCAATTAATTGTATATAATCTGTAACATCATTTTATTTCCTCCACATGGTAGTCTCAACTCGCAACAATTATAGTATATGTTTGGCATCAATGTTGCATATGAGAAAACGGGGCTGCTGATGTGTGGGTTGGAAGCATTATTTTCTGAGAAAACAATGTCTTTTTTCTGTTTGGAAATGTTGCTGCTAGGTAAGACGTTTCTTGGAGCAACAATACTTTCTGTTTAGTACCAGTGCTCCATGTCTGTTTTCAATACTAGTACCCATTATAAGAAAATCCCAGATTCGGTGTTACTCCAAACCACACCTCGATTTCCAAGATGTGACTTGGAACACCGTTTTTTATGGAAAAACAGTTCCAAACAAACTGATGTTTCATGGAACACCATTTTTTCTGACATAGCACTGATGTATCACTGTTTTTTGGAGCAATGGCATCGATGCCAAACAAACGCAAAATATTTCCAATGGCATAATTTAACAAAAAAATAATGCTTTATTTAAATCAATATTAGGCATCATGTCCAATATTAGGCATCTAACTTTGATATTATCATCCTTAGGAGCATTATCGAGCAGACATTCAAAGTTTTAAAGGTCCACTTTAGTATATTAAAGAAGATGATACCATAACCCTTAATGGATTAAATGGATATAATAATTGCATGTTTTGTTGTACATATATTTTCCAAAAAATAAGCTATAGAGGATGATTCAATTAGTAATACGAGACAAATGGTATCAAAGAAATAAATGATAGTATCACCTTACGAGCATGAATGTTAAAGACGGATGTTTGGCTTTAGTAGTTTCATATACTGCTCATAATATGTGACTAAAGAGCAAACCGAATATGTGTTCATTCCATGCATTCATGGCTGAATAAAATATGGGGGCCACAAAAAGCGATTGTAATACGTTAATTAAGCACCCAATTCGCCAAGCCTTCGTGAGCCCAAGAACCAGACCACTCCACGGCCTAGCTAGTGTAATATGTTTCTAATTGGGATATTTATTTGTAGGGATCATCGTATGGAGGTTAATTTAGATATTCATTTATCAGGGTTTTCCTATCAAGTTTAATTTTAAAAAATAACATGCATAATAACTTAGGACCTGTTCATTTTCTTTAAATTCTTATCTCTTACGAAGAATCTTTTAACTTTAAGAAAAAAATGGTGGTTCGTTTTCTCTCATCTCTTCTCTTAAAAGTGCAATCATACAACTTTTTATATTTCAATGATACCTCCAAAAAGACACAAAAAACTCTCATATATAGGGTCAAAATGGTTATTTGATAATTTTCAAAATTCAGAATTTAGAATAACATTGTCTACATTCAGGGTAGAGGAAAGAAAAGTTCATTAATACCAATATAACTCTTAATGTAATTATTGTACTTCAAATGTCAAACTTCAAAACAAACGAACAGGCCCTTAGTAAATGCATGGGTAAATGAATTATAAATTTAGAAAGATCAAGGCTAGAAATGAAATCATACAAGGGAACCTAACTAAGAATTTAGTCATATCCAAAGACAATCATCACCTACAATACATGTTAAAAAAAGTGATCTGTTACAGAAGGGGTAGAAAAACTAGGGGCAAAGAAGAGGTAATAAAAAATTATTTAAGTGCTTATAATTTAACAATTGGTGAAGGCATTTAACAGTACGGAATGGCCAAACAGGATTCATGCCCCCGTTTAGTTGCGACAAGGCTTAGATGATGATTATGATGTTAACCCCTAATGAATTTCTTGTTTGTTTGATTTTTCAATTTTTAATCATTTCAATAACTAATATTTAATTATTCATCTTCTTAATGTCTAATCAGTTTATCAGTTCTTTTATCATTTTTTATAAATAACAATAATTTTATACCATCTTATAAATTAATTAACCAGCTTGTTACTTGTTTAGTTTTTATTAATTATTTAATGGTTTTATGAATTTTTTAATCAGTTTATTCATTCATTGAACATTTTATTAATTAATTAAGGATAAATTAGTTATACCTCTCCTGTTATTTTCTTAACAGAGAATGATGATTTCATGCCTTTACACATAATATTCCTATTATGCCCATAGATTATATAATATTAGAGAGCCTATTGATTGAAAGCCAGGTTCAACCAATAAACTGTTGTCCTAACTCCTGAGCTTGGTCTTTGCCTATTTCATGACAGAAAAGGATTAGAATGAAAATAGGTTTTCCAACCAATTACGGCAGAGCATACAATAACGTAATTTTTTTTCTTGTTGCCAGTTTTAAAACAAATCATCTGATTTGAAACATATTGTTTCTTAAAAAAACACAGTATGATGTTGAATTTCTGATTTCAAAAATCAAAGACATTTTCATTTGGTTATTTAATATTTTAATTTTATGTTCCATAAATTATATAATTTCTAGTTTGAAAATAGATTGTTTCACAAAACAAAAAACACAAAAAAAGACCATGTTTTTAGTTATGCATGTGTTCTTAGTTTTCAATATTGATATCAAAAACATGTTCTTAAATTTCTGGTTTCAAAAGCATGTTTTAATCTGGTTATTTAATATCATGTTCCATAAATCCTGTCTCAAAAAATAATACATCATGTTCCATCAATCATATAATTCTACACTACAAATTTGATTTTGATTTAAAAACCATTATTTTGATGAAAATGGTTCCAAAAACATGTATTGTTTTTTTAGGGGGAAAAAACTTCTTTATCCTTTAAAAACAAAGCAAAGTTCAAAAAGCATGCTTTTGTGGCAATTTTGAAAAGCAAATGAAAAACAAAAACATTCAGTTGAAAACCCCTTACAAAATTTGTTCTTGTTTCACAAATCATTATTTTGATGGTTCCAAAATCATGTATTGATTTTTTTAATCAAAACTAACTTCTTTTTGCCTTTCAAAACAAAAATAAAGTTCAAGAAACAAATGAAAATAAAAACACTCGTGCTGTTGAACACCTACATTTTTTTTCTTAAACCATTATTTTGATGGTTCCCAAAAACATGTATTGTTTTTGAAACAAAACCAATTTGTCTTTGCTTTTAAAAACAAAAACAGAGTTCAAAAACATGTTTTTGTTTTTTAGCTGATCTAACATTTTCAAAACAAATGAAGAAAAAAAAAGTCATGTAAACACCCCTTAGATTTTATCATGATGAAGGCAAGAAAATGATTAATAAACACCCAGGCAAAACACCTAGGTAAATGATTCTAATCAAATGAAATCCATCAAATAATTGAAACCACTGAATGGCAATGTTCCATATGGTTCATACTGCATATTAATTCTACAATTATAACAGAAGCCTGCCTAGCGGAAACATGAAGATATCACATAGCAAATAACCATGACTATTACACATGTTACCATAATTTCATCCTCACCTTTTAATCGAGGAAGAAACCAGATTTGATTGTCCACATCAAACAAATCTTCAACATAAACCAAGTCCCAGAAGGTTTCAAGGGAGTTCAGACATATGACAGACAGCAGGCATGTTATTCCATGCACAAGAGCCCAGACCCCATCCTTGACCCATCTTTGAAGTTTCAGCAGTCATTTGCTTGTAATCACTACAGAAATCTTCACCAAGCAGTGTTGCTATAGTATCAGTCACAACGGATAGGTCTTTCCCATTATCAGAGCTCTGCCCAAACCAATCGGAACCTAGCAAGGCATCAGGCCTGGAAAAATCCAATCGATTTAAGATTTCCTTGTCTCCATCTGGGGTTGAAACCTTTTCAGCTGTTTCTGGCTTGATGTTAGATCCTACAGAACACAGAAGAAACTGTATTCTTAAGGTAACAATTTTAACCTTATTCTTCAAAGAGCAATGAGGGAGAAATATGCTCACCAGGTAATATATCGTTTGATGGGGGCTCATCAAAAGAGCTCCCACTAATGGGAGTGCACTCACTAAAAACTGAAGCAGCAGATCGGCCCAATGGAGAGATCGGGTCACTGTATTCATCCCATTCTGTTTCACATAGATTCAAGTTTGAGCTGTCCACCACTTCATTGGGTGTAACAACCGAAGAACTCGAGCTCTTGTCAGCCGACTGATTCTTAGCACTGCTTATATTCTGTGCCTCATGAAGTAATGCTTCCAGCAGGCCACTGTTCCTTGGCAAAAGACAATCTGACTGCACTGACCCAGTTGGTGGAGGGGATTGGATAAATGTATCAACAGATTCAAGAGATACAGGCATGGGAAGGGATGTACCCCAGCTACCAAGGTCAGTTTCTGGATATTGGAGTGAAGGGAGCTCCAACTTCACAGCCCCTGGAATGGGCTTAGAAGCAGAGAAATTGCCATTTATAAGGGCATGGCTACCAAAATGAGGTGGATCCTTGGCATTGGGGTCAGGATCATATGGAAAAGACAACCCAAATGGCCGATGTATTTTCTCACAATTATCACCCTGAAACTGGTCAAATGGTGGGAGTGCACTGGTTACGTTACCATTCAAACCAGGAAACAACCCCTCTGATTCTCGAAGCTGTTTGGTGTGATGCATTATGGGAGGCATGAAACTGTAATTCTGGGACGAAACCAGATTCTGTGTCAGAATGTTGCTAGTAGAAATGTTGGGAAGTGCTGATGGATAAGATAAAGCCCCTTGGGTTGCCTTGAAATTGTCAAAAATGACATCGGGAATCTCATAACTGTTTCCTTGCAAGAGATCATGGTGCCGTTTATCCACACTATTGATTTCAACTGAGTTCTGAGTTTGCCGGCTCTCATTTAATGCTTGCAGACACACCTCAGGAGGATAAAGTGGTAAGCCAGCTCGTTGTCGTCTCTTGATTCGGGTATTCCAGTAGTTCTTTATCTCATTATCTGTACGTCCAGGCAACTAGCAAGAAAGAAAAGAACAACAGAATCCCAGGAAATCAATAAAGGACCAGACAGAAACAAGAATATGGAAACAAGAAAACAAGAGAGAATTTATAGCAAATAAACATTTCATTTTGGATGTAACACTCTACAATGGATTCACAAAGTTCATACTGTATTGCTTTGAACTATTTGTACAAGTTACTGAAGACACATGGTCTAGCCTAGGCTTAAAAATGCCTAAAATTAGGCTAATAAATAGCCCAAAACATGGTTTAACTTTGGATTAAAAAATTCAGGGATTCTAAATGGTAGTATTTCATGTTTGCAGCTGAACCTTTTGTCAAGAAGGCTGTTCCATGCGTAAGTTTGTTCTTTAATTTTTGATCATTTGATTTGAGATGTTCCTTATTTATGTTATACTTCCATTGGAAATTTTACAGCAATCCAAAAAAGGGGAAAGTTAATACATTCAAAAAGCAGATTCCTATCTCAAAACTGACTTACGAGTCAACCCATCACAAGAACACACACAAAATAAGCATCTTGTTCTTTACAAATTTATGGTAGCATATAAAGTTACATCAAACTCAGTTTCAAGGCAAGGCTAGTCATGAGAGGGGGGTCTTGTTAACTAGGTGACTTTTTTGTTAAATAAAAGCTATGAATCCTAGGGCAATTCCCTAGGTTTCATAGCAACCAGCAATCATCTTTCAGTAGTAATTATCAAAAAATCTACGTTAAATTTCATTTTAAAAAATAGAAAATCAACATATACATTAGAAGAGAAAGAAGAAAGAAAACAAAATCAGAAAATAGGACTGAGCCCCTGTTTTTGTCCCAGGAAAAATGAAGAGTGGAAGAAGAAGATTTTAAAGATAGAACATACAACAACATGTGTGTTGACTGAACCCTAACAAATAAGAAATAGTAAGAAGAAACTAGTATATAAAGTCACAAAATGAATAATTTAGTGTATAATGTCTATTTTATTATTATATCATCAAAATATAAAGAATATTAAAATATTTTATATCGCCATTAACAAAATAGCTAGGTGCTTAAGTGAGACAACGCTTCATTGGCACCTTATTGCCTAGGTGCCCACCAAGGCATTGCCCCCTTGAAAAATATGATCAAACTACATAATAAGAAGAAAATTCAAACATCCCATAAGATACAGTAGACATAGTTCTACATTTACTTATGAAAAGAGAACAAAAATTGTGTACAACCATGATGCCAGAAAGACATGATATTGGAAAAACTTATAACCAATCAACCGGCATCATAAAAGTGGTAACCAATCAGGTGATTTTTCATCAAAATTCTTGGGGTTTTGATTAGTCAAATCCTTTCCAGTATCATATCTTTCAGCATCATAGATTTTTCCAAAAACATAACCAATAAATATGGTATCTGCTTAAAGAAAAAGGTCTATGGGAATTTTCCAATAAATAAAACATGTTATGACTAAAATAAGGATACCTCTAGAGTCTAGACATCCTGATTTTGATAGACATATGAAGGGCACTTTATGCAGGCATCTAAAGCTCTATTGTTGGCAATGCATCAATCACAGCCTCACTAGACATGCCTCTCACAAACATAGATATGAAAATAAAATAACCAAGAAAAATGGGAAGATAGGAAAACTAAAGGAAGATTGTCCATTGCAGAGGAATGTTAACTTCATAGTTGTGAGGATAGCCCAGATAGGGGCCATTGCTTGGTTAGAGGTAAAACCGAGAAACTGACAAATGTGAGAATGTGGGTACGAGCATGAGAGTCCACTTTGTCCCCCACCCCGCTCCCCCCCCAAAAAAAAAAAAATCAAAAAATTTTAGAGGTTAGGTCCATATCCAGTCCAGCCCTACAAAGACCCCAAATAACTGGGGCCAACATTGGGTGGTGGCCTTTTAATCCAGTGAAATAGATAAATTTTAATAAATTAAGTTTATTGATAAAATATGGAACATTAGGTGCAACAGTTTTGTGTGGGTGTGTGTATATATTTAATTAGCAGGGAATTGAAATATTATGCGGTATCAACAAAAGGAGACAAGATACATATATACATACATGTGCAGCCATCCGAGCCCATTTGTTCCCCATCTTTGCATGGAGTTCGATTATCATTCGCTCTTCTTCTTGACTGAAAGCACCCTTCTTCAAGTTTGGCCTTAGATGATTTGCCCAGCGTAAACGACAACTTTTCCCACATCTAAAAAGCCCTGAATGCTTTTGGACAGCATTCCAATTTCCTTCACCATGCTTCTTAACATAGTCCACCAAAATTGCATCTTCCGCTGATGTCCATGGCCCTTTCTTCAGAACAACCCCTCCACCCATAGTTCTCCCACAGCTACTGTCATCAATAGATGGTGAATCAATCTGATCCTTTGAGAGCATACTTTCTTCGCTATCATTAGTTGATCGACTCATCTTAATATGGATTCACCTGATCCTGCATTTAGTGAGAATCATCCATAATGGAGCTCAAGAACTTGAACATTAAGGACATCAGAAAAGGAAGATATTTATCATAGTTGGGGAAAACAATTAGATATCTCAAATTCAAAACATTAAAATCCGGCAGTGGAAAACACATCCATAACAATAAAACTTCAGAAAAATGGAGGAATCAATCTTGATTATTTAATCAATCCCAAATTTATGAGAAACCTAAATTGACAGACCCAAGAAAAGAAAAAGTAGTTACTGACAATAGTTCATGTCAAGCTCAATTGATTTTTTTTTTTTTTTTTGAAAATGGTCAAGCTCAATTGATAGTTCCTCAGCGCTAGCAGCCCATTGAATAAAGAAACTAGATTCATGGAAATCTAGAGTAAAACAAACCTATTTCAAAACACTCGTAGTCTTGAGAGCAAATGATTAATTCAAGACTACTTACTGCCATCCCATTCTCGGCGTTCCCGAACCAGAAATCCTGGAAAAGGGAAAAGAAAAGAGGCAAAATAGAAAAAAAGAAGATACCAGTGCCATCAAAAGCCCAGATCGTCCCCAGACAACCCAATATAGAGATATGGTAACAGAGAAAAACCAAACTTAGCATTCAAAATTATCAGAGTAGCAATTAGGAGGACTCAATCGAAAAAGAAAAAGGTACCAATTGAAGAATATAAGTCTTCTGTAAGAACGCCTAGAATACGAAAAACCGTCAACATCCAAACTGTAGCTCCATTAAGTTAAATGAACCTGAATCCCCGTGAACATAATCGAGACCGTGTCTGGTCGCAGAAACCAGAAAAGGACCATCAATTTCAGAACACAAAACCTAACAACTGAACATTTGCAGGAGCCGGCTCCCGAAAACCCCAAACAAATCCAGAAATCCAGCTATGTACCCAAATCCACCTCAGAACTCGAAAAACAATGGCAAGATGGTAATAAATAAATAAATAAATAAACTGAAAATAACTCCAACGCTCCAAATGAAGAGGGCGGATTCGGTCCTTACAAAATTGTGCTCACACCGTTCTCACAGCCTTTTTCAGCCGTGTATTGGGAATATCTCCCCTGTGAGAGAGCTGTGAGCACAATTTTGCGAGCACCAAATCCGATTTCCCAAATGAAACCCAAACCCTAATAATTCAGCTCAGAAAAATCAACACGAAAAAAAAGACCTAGCTGATAAACATTCAGAGCTAGGAAAAAGGGAAAAATTCAAACCCTCAAAATATTAATTTGCACAGCAGATCCTACATCTGAGAATTATCTTACCCGAAGATTCACGTTACCCAAAAAAATGGAAGCACGAAAGCACAACCAGATCCTGAACTCAAACACCAAAATTACTAATAGAAAAAACAAGAATCAAAATAAAGAACCAGAGGTGAAGAGGAGAGAGAGAGAGAGAGAGAGAGAGAGAGAAAGGGTTTGATGTGTGATGGGCGAGAAAAGGAGAGGAGTTGCTTTAGAGAAAAACCCTAAAGTGAGAAATGGCGAGAGGAGAGCGAAAATAGGAGAGAGAGCAAAGGAGAGACTACCAGCTATCAGAGCTTAGAGGAAGGAGATAGCTTTATTAATTGTTTCTTCCTCACTTCCTCCCAGTCTGTTGGTAACGCATGTACAGAGGAGAGAGAGAGAGGAGTGTGGGAGAGTCGGAGAGAGTTTCCACGGGTTTGGAGAGAGAAAGATACATGAGAGAGGGATCTAGAGAGAGAAAGGTGGGACTCGAGTGACTCGATCAACTCTATGGACCGGGGCTGTGCTAGCGGAACTCGAATAACACGTAATCAGGCGTACGGGCAGAAAAATGAAGACACCGGTGCTTAATTGACTAAAATGCCCCTAATGCATCGTTCTTTTCCCGTATGCATTGTTTTCTTTTTTGGTAATTCCCGCATGCACTGATGGATCTCAGCATGTCGGGTTTGGTACGGGCTTTACTCAAGCCAAACCGGGCCACGCCAATCCGATCGGATATTGTCCAAGAAATAGTTCATATATGTATGAATTCAAACGGGTCTGGTCCAATGAAAATCCAATTAAGTTGGGTTAGGGTCAATGTGGACCAATTAATCCGATCCATTGACATTGATAATGCCCCTGTAACAGATCAAGCCTAGATGGCGTTTGGTAAAATTGAACTCCAAATCTTTAACAAAGCAAAAATTATTTGAGTGTGTTTTTTCATACTATGATTGCTTTGTTGCTTTTTTCTGTCTTGTGAGTTTGAACTGTTTGATTATCTAAAAACAAATTGCTTTACATTATTTATCCCTATAAAATTTATGAATTCCTATTGTAGATAGAAAAGAAAATTAGGAAGAAAATGGTTCACTAGAAGCACCAATTCCACCAAACAAAGAGAAGTAAAAAAGATAAATTAAATTGTGTTTGGTTGGAGAGGGTGGGATGAGAAAAAATGGGATGGGATAGGATGATAAAGGAAAAATGGATGGAAATTTTTTACCGTCCATTGTTTGGTTATACAAGGGAAAATAGTGGGAAAATCAATTCCAATAACATTTATTAATTGATTAGGTAATTAGTAACACTATTTCCTATTTTATATTTTATTATTAATTGTCAATATTTTTATTAATTTATTTCATATTTAATTAGTTAATTAATTAATATTAAAAATTGATTAATTATTTATTAATTAAGATCTAATATTTTAAATTTTCTTAGTTGATATTTTATTATTAAAATTTCTTTATAATAATTAATAATTTTAATTAACTAATAAATTATTTTTAATTGATTAATATTTTGTATTACTTATTTCTTTTAATTAAAGTGTTAATTTAATTGAAATTTTTATTAGTATTTTATTAAATAATTAATGATTCATTAATGGCTCATGGGTCTAATATTAACTCTTAAAAATACTACAAAGAAGGAATTTTTGTGTTAAACAAGTTTCCCCTCCCTTACCACTTGTTTCCCACCATTTCGATGGAATTCCACATCCCAATAATAGAGATTTGAAATCCCACCTTTTTCTCATCCCATCTCATGACATCTCACAAACCAAATGGAGCCTTAGTGTTAGAGAGGTAAGGTTTTAGGTAAGAATAGCTTTTTTGTCATATTAAGATCTGAGTGAGTCACTTGTGGAACAAAAAGTTGAAAACACCTCTTAGTGTGGTAAGAGGTGGATGGGCCTCTAAGTTGCTAAAAGAAATCTTTAAAATTGAATGGCCAAGCTTAGAGGTTATATCAAATAGTGTGTAACCTTTAAAAATTGCATTTATCAGACCTTAGAGGTCTATTAAGTGCAAACAAACACAACCTTAGTATTCTTTGACTAAAATCTTCTAATAAAAAGCCTTGCCTTTTTTTCTTGTCCATTTCATAAGAAAAAAGAAAAAGAAAATGAAGAAATAGCCATGAGAAGGAGAGCTGCATTATCCTACATAAATAATGGAATTTATTTTGTATGAAACACATCAGTTATTGATAGAGTGAATCAAATAAGTAACATACATTTTGATAGATTGCCATCTAGTGGATGGGCTTTTAAGTTGCTAAGAGAAATCTTTAAAATTAAGATGCCAAACTTAGAGGTTGTATTAAACAATCTAGGACCTCTAAAAATGTAAACAAATACCACCTTAGTATTCACTGGCTCAATTCTCCTAATAAAAATCCTTGTTTTTTTCTTTCTCCTTTTCAAAAGTAAAAAAAAATGAAAATGAAAAAAAAAATGACCATGTGAAGAATAATTGCATAAATAATGAAATTTATTATGTATGAAATGCATTAGTTAATAATGGGATGAATCAAATAAGTAATGTGCATATAAATAATAGATTGCCATCTAGTGGATGGGTCTCTAAATTGCTAAGGGAAATCTTAAAAATTAAGATGATAGATTTAGAGGTTGTATCAAACAGTCTAAAACCTTTAAAAAATGCTTTTTCTAGACCTTAGAGATCTATTTAGTGCAAAAAAAAACACCAAATTTAGTATATGCTAAGTAAAATCTTCTAATAAAAAGGCATGCCTTTTTCCTTGTTTTTCTCATAAAAAAAAAAGAAACGGCCATAAAAAGGATAACTGCATAAATAATGCAATTTATTGTTTATGAAACACATTAGTTAATGATGGGATGAATCAAATAAGTAACGCTCATTTAGATAGATTGCCATCTAGAAGATGAAATTTAAATTACTAAGAGAAATATTTAAAACTAAGATGCCAAACTTAGGGGTTGTATTAAACAATCTAGGACATTTAAAAATGCAAAAGACACCACCTTAGTATTCTCTTGCTCAATTCTTCTAATAAAAAGCCTTGTTTTTTCTTTGTCCTTTTCAAAAGGAAAAAACAGAAATGAAAATGAAAATATGTCTATGTTAAAGATAACTACTACACACATAATGGAGTTTATTGTGTATGAAAGACATTAGTTAATAATGGGATGAATCAAATAAGTAATGTGTATATAAACAATAGATTGCCATCTAGTGGATGGGCCTCTAAATTGCTAAGAGAGAATCTTAAGAATTAAGATGCTAGATTTAGAGGTTTTATCAAACAATCTAGAACCTGGGGGTGTCCATGAAAAACCAAAAAACTGAACCGAACCGCAAAATGCGGTTAACCGAATCGATCAGTTCGATTTTTGGTTAACCTATAAAAAAATGGCGATTAACTGATCCGACCGGTATATATATTTATATGTATATATTATATATATTTTTAATATATGTCACATATTTTCTGTATTATATATAAATATTTATTCATTATATATATATATAAATATATATATTATATTTATAATAATCTATTTATAAATATATTATATATTTATAAAATATTTAAATAATATATTATATATCATTTATAATATCATTTATTATAATATAATATTATACATATATTTATATAATATATATTATAAATATAAAAAACCAAAAAAAACAAAGAACCAAACCAGTCAAAAACCGAAACTAGTGGACTAGTTAACCGATGGTACCGGTTTGAAGAAATGGAAAAACCGGTAGTATATGTTCGGTTTGCAAAAATTGTCCATGGTTTAGTTAACAAAACCTTGGACACCCCTACTAAAACCTTTAAAAAAATGTTTTTTTCAGATTTTAGATGTCTATTTAGTGCAAAGCATGGAATTTATTGTTTATGAAACAATAAGCCCATGCCTTTTGTCCTTTTCATAAAAAAAAACAAAAAATAAGAAATGGTCTAAAAAGAATAATTGCCTAAATAATGGAATTTATTGTTTATGAAACACATTAGTAAATTAATGATGAGATAAATCAAATAAGTAACGTGCATTTAAATAGATTGCCATCTAGAAGATGAGCCTTTAAGTTATTAAGAGAAATATTTAAAATTAATATGCCAAACTTTTAAACAATCTATGACATTTGAAAATGCAAAAACACCACCTTAGTATTCTCTCACTCAATTCTTCTAATAAAAAGCCTTGTTTTTCTTTGTCATTTTCAAAAGGAAAAAAAAGCAAAAATAAAAATGAAAATATGACCATGTTAAAGATAATTTCACAAATAATGGAATTTATTGTGTATGAAACATATTGGTTAATAATGGGATGAATCAAATAAGTATTGTGCATATAAATAATAGATTGCAATCCAGTGGATGGGCCTCTAAATTGCTAAGGGAGAACCTTAAAAACTAAGACACTAGATTTAGAGGTTGTATCAAATAATCTAGAACCTTTGAAAATGTTTTTTTTTTTCCATGACTCTAGAGGTCTATTTAGTGCAAACAAACACCAAATTTAGTATATTCTAACTAAAATCTTCTAATAAAAAGTCATGCCTTTTTCCTTGTCCTTCTCATAAAAAAACAAAACAAAAAATAAGAAATGGCCATAAAAAGGATAACTTTATAAATAATGGAATTTATTGTTTATGAAACATATTAGTTAATGATGGGATGAATCAAATAAGTAACATGCATTTAGATAGATTGCCATTTAGGAAATGGGCCTTTAAGTTACTAAGAGAAATAATTAAGATTAAACTTAGAGGTTGTATTGAACAATTTATGACATTTAAAAATGCAAAAATACCACCTTAGTATTCTCTAACTCAATTCTTCTAATAAAAAGCCTTATTTTTTCTTTGTCCTTTTCTAAAGTTAAAAAAAAAAGAAACTGAAATGAAAATGAAAAAAAAAAGACCATGTGAAAAATAACTACACAAATAATGGGATGAATCAAATAATTAATGTGCATATATATAATGGATTTCCATCGGATGGATGGGCCTTTCTAAGTTGCTAAGGAAAATCTTAAAAATTAAGATGCTAGAATTAGAGGTTGTATCAAACAATCTAGAACCTTTAAAATTTGATTTTTTTTAGACCTTAGAAGTTTACTTAGTGCAAACAAACACCAAAATTAGCATATTCTAACTTAATTCCTTTACTAAAAAGCCATGCCTTTTTCCTTGTCCTTCTCAGAGAAAACAAAACAAAAAGTAAGAAACGGCCATAAGAAGGATAATTGCAGAAATAATGGAATTTATTATTTACAAAACACATTAGTTAATGATGAGTTGAATCCATCAAGTAACGTACATTTAAGTAAACTAGTAAGTATGCACGTGCTTTGCACGTGGTAATTCTAGATGATCATAATGATAGTAATAATGTATCTATTTTTTTTTATAAATATCATGTTTTTTTTTGTTTTTTTTTTATAATTAATGGAATTCATATTGCA